GGAGGATCAGGCCAGACTGTCCCAGGGAATTCTGTCCTCCCAGATTTGAGGATGGCAGCCACAGTAGTCATTTTATTTGGCTAAAGGAGTCCCCGTGTTAGTCCTGTGTTCATACTTGAAGCATTGTGTTCCTTATATAAGCTAGGTTCTATCTAAAATTTATGGTGAAAATATAGAAAGTTTCCATGAAAAACAAAGTCCACTAGGGGGAGCTCCGATGTTACCTTCCCTGGTCCTGCTGTCTAAAATAAAACAACAGACCATCTGGTAACTGCCGAACAAGTCAAGCAAATAATAATACAAGTAAATTCAGCAGCTAGTAGGTCTGAATGCAGCCTGCATAACAGGAATACAAGGCTCTGCCTTCAAAAATCACATGTCCCACCAAGAAACTGCATAATCATCCCATGTTCTCAACTTAAATCTACCATCATTTTAATAAAAAAGACAAGGCATAAACAACTGAAAAACAAAAGACGACAGTTTTTGATTACCTAGATGAGTCACCCTCTAGAATCCACTCAAAATATCTAGGGGTGCCATGAATCAAAAGCAAACTCCTACGTCCTTCTGATTATTTCTCTGGGGCCTCCAAATGACATAGGAGAAATATAACCCCCAATCTGCTAGATGTTAGATGTGTCAAGTTTGTGTCCTCTAAAATCAAAGAATGAACATTAAGGAACAGTGGAGGGTAAGAGTAGGAAAGATTTACCGAGAGGTAGCTCCCGAGATACAAAAGGGGTCCCGAAAGTCAGGTGCCACCAAGGCCCTTTGTTGGGGGTAATTTACAGAGCAAAGTCACAATGTGGGTACAACATGAGTCAAACTATAATCAACCTATAGGATTACAAGTACAGCTACTTAGTTAATATTGACCCAATAGGGACATGAGTCACACAGCTAGGGTACATGGAAAGAAAAACTGGATGGGGAAGGGATAGGTCTGGATGCTCTGGACACCCACCTGGGTGACTGATGATTATCTGGACTTTACTGGACCAGGCGAAACCAGTCACAGTACAATCTCAAGTTATTGTTTATCCCTCAGGGATAAACATGTAGGGTAAGGGATAACATCAGGGATAAGCATGTAGGCCTGGTCATTGTATCTTTATCTTGAGTCCTGGCCTTGAACGGATGCAACTTCAGCCACAGTTCTGGTGTGCTCTTATTCTTTGTACTGAGTCGAGACAGAGATTGTCCCTGTCTGACTGCCTATTCGTTTCCATCCAAGTTAGCTTCCGAGAATAACAGAAATCCCAACATAAAGTTCAAAACCAAGAAAGTCAACATGAAAATCGCTTTCATGTTGGCTCTTCTACTTACCTCTTGGACACAATCACCCCTTATACTTGTATTCATTATCACATGTGCTTAGCTCTCCCTCTACTGATAATTTCTTTATGTCAGCATTTGACTGTATTCCTAATTGCAAGGGCTACTAAATTACTCAGTAGCTAGAATTAGTTTTGAGCAGTTTGAAAGCTTCCAGGGCTCTTTAGGATAGTCCTTGGTACCTGCTGTTGGACACCTGAATGCTCAGCCTGTTAGAAGTTTGGTCATTCTTTCAGGATGAATTTCTACTGAATTCCCTGAAGTAACTGAAAGAGACTTTCCACCGAGCACCACTATCACACTCTACTCTGTATCACTGCTCTGCCTTCCAGCCTGTAAACAGCTGACCTGACCACGTGCCCATCAAAAGCTAAGCCCTTCTCTTTGCAACACATTCCACCCCTCTCTCCAACTGAAAGACTGGGTAGAGCATGTTCTCTTACTTCATCAAACTTTCACTCTTCTCTGGATTATTCTTATGAGCATGCAAACTTGCTATCATTCCATTTTAAAGCACACATGCTCTCCTTGACCTCAGTTTCTTTGTCAGCTACTGCCCACTTCTCGTCACTTCTTTATGACAAAAATTCTCAAGAGTTGTCTAATCACAGTCTCAATCCTTTCCTCCATCATAAATGTACTCCAGCCAAGCGTTCAACCTTATCATTTCCCAAACCTGTTCTTTCACAGACTCCAACGATCCTAGTCAGTCCGACCCTCATGTGCCTTGACCCATCAGCGGCATTTGACCCAAATGATCACCCCCTCCTCCTTCACATCTTTTCTTCACTTGGCCTTCAGCTCACCACACTCCCCTAGTTTTCTTCCCACCTCCTTGGAAGCACCTCATTAGTCTCCACTGCCGGTCACTCCCTCCTCTTCTTCCCTAACCTGTTAATAGTGAAATACCTCAAGGCTTACGATTTGGTCTTATCTCTCTCCACATTTACCTTATTTCAGGCTTTAAATTTCACCCACACACATACAACTCTTGATTGGTATCTTCAGCTCCAAGCTCTTTCATGTCTTATGACTCACTATCATTTGAAATACAACAGACCCCAAACTGACTCCCCAAAGCCCTCTCAAAACCCCCTTCCACCTATTCTTCTCTATTTCAGCTAACGCCAACTGCATTATTCCAATCCATTGGTTCAAAATCTTTGGTCTCACACTGATATTGAAGTCATTCGATATATCTGAACATGTCTCACCATTTCCACTGCTTTTCTGCTTTGATTGGAGCCACAGTACTCTCTTACCTCATTCAACAGTTCCAAGCTTTGTCTAAGGATTCTAAAACCCACTGCTTCCTACCTTTGATATTCCGATTTAACAATTTTCACAGTTCTCCAGATGTGCATCAAAGTTTGGGAACTACTGGCAACGTTATGGTACCGGCCGCCTAAGTGAACTCCCTGCTTCAACCACTCCCCTGCTCCCAAAGTCAGTAAGTAGACATACTTCTAAGTCAGATCGTACTTCTCTTTTAAAAACTCCAATGGTGCCAGATTTCATAGTAAAAGCCCTAGGCTTCTCAATGACCTACACGCTCTCATGTGGGCTGCACTGTCCCTTGTGGTGGCCCTATCATTTCCTTGACCTCTGTTGCACTTTGTCTCACTCACTGCTCCACTGACACTGGCCTTTTTACATGAATACATCAGGCATCCTCTCATTCTTGGACCTTTGCACTAATTGTTCCCTCTGCCTGAAATACTCTCTCTCCAGTAATCTGTATATGGAATATTGTTCAAATATCATAGTCATCATATTCTAAAAAAGGCCTACTCTAATCTTTATTTAAAATTACAAGTTTACTCCCCCGCCCCCATGTGTATGTGTGCACGCAATGAGGTAGATGATGGTGCCTTTAGATAAGAATGCCGCAAAGAGCAAATTTGGAGGAAAAACAGGTACCTGTTTTAGACATGTTCAGTTTGAAATGTATATTAGACTTCCAAATCAAACATGTTATCAAACAGGGGAGAAGCTGGGGTTGGGTTATAAACCTGGGAGTGGAGATGGTACTTAAAGCCATGGTACTCTGCAGATTGTCTTGAGGGTGACAAGGCTGAGCAATTTCTCTGCAACACCAGTCTTCTTGAATACACAAATGACTGAGGAAAGTAGAATAATCAAGAGTAGAGGGCTCTATTATAAAATACTTTCAGGGGGGCAACCCATTTTCTGGTCCCCCTTCTGTCTCTCTTAGACAGGCTATCTTTCTCTCAGTAAGTTTTTCCTACTCTAAAAATAAATAAATAAATAATAAAATACTTTCAGGGAAGATAATTTATGTTGCTTGGTAAAAGAATGACAGTAAAGGACTAATAAATTTCACTGATGGGATGTCACAAAACTTCACCAGAGCAGTTTCAGTGTGATAGTGGGATCAAAGACTTGGAACTGTCTTAATTCTAGAGGGAAGTAAAGAACTGGAAACAGCACCGATTCCCATCTTTATTAATAAGAAGGGTTCTTAATCTCTGATCCATGGACATAAGAGATCATGAGCAGGCTTCAAAAAGTTTTCCCAAGTCTTCTCTGCAAACTCTGTGAAGTTTCATGTGTTTTTCTGGAGAGGCATCCATAGTTTTCGTGATGGTTAAGATGGGCCATACAAGGTGTAATCAAAAAAGACAATGAATTTAAAGTTTTTAAAATTTTACCACAGTAAAAGATATATTGTCATTAATCTCCCTCAAAATATCCCCCCTTACATCAAACACACTTATCCATTGTTCTTGCTACTTTCTGAAGCAGTTCTGGAAGCCCTCTTTCATCAGTCTTGACTTGCGCTGTCATGGCTGCCTCAATATCCTGAATCCACTGAAAATGTTTACCTTTCATGATCATTTTGCCTTTGGGGAAGTCACTCCATGCCAGATCCAGTGAATAGGGTGGATGAGAACACACTAATATTTTTACCAGCCTGCCTTTCTGTTGGGTGGCACCTGGCAGCAGCACTCAGCGTATTTTTTTATCATACCTAGTAAAGACACTCATGAAAAAGAACTTCCGGAACGACTCCAGAAAACAGCAACAAGACCGGATAGGTGTGTTCTAAGGGAAGGAGACTATTTTGACGGCGACTCACGGCAGTGTCACTCACTGTAGTAAATCTTTTAAAATTTAAATATTCACCGTATTTTGTGATCACCCCTTGCCTATCATTCACAGAGGCCTGCTCACAGCCTGTTTCCTAAGTCTGCTTGGTCTCCTCCACGCTCTTAATCTAAATTCCTCCTCGCGAGGTGCCCATACTCCAGTTCCAGCCCAGCCTCCCGGAAGTGATGCACCTGGGCTCAAGAGCCCTATTCATAAAGCGCCCGCCCCCACGCCCTCACTCAGGCTTCCGGCCGCAGCTTCTCCCGGCCGCAGCTTCTCCCGGCCGCAGCTTCTCCCGGCCGCAGCTTCTCCCACCCGCCCCACCCCCGCGTCTCCTTCCGCCGCGGAGCCGCCTCTGGGGGGCGTGGCGAGGCGCAACGAGCTTTACGATACAGTGGCCGCCCTTTTACGACAGGCTGGAGTTGCTTTGTGGTTGTCAATCTCACCGTGGTACGAGATACGGTATCGTGTTGGCGTCTGCTACGACGGCGCTGAAATGAGGCAGAAGCGGAAAGGTGCAGAAAGGGAGGGCGAGGGTAAAGGGAGGGGTCGCTCCGGCGGTCAGATTCGGAACCCAACTTTTCCCGCGGGAATTCCTGCCTGATCCCGTCGCGTGGGCTGATCAGCCTCCCTGTGACAGCCCCTCTCCCGCCCGTCTTATCCATTGTGCATTTTCTACCAGCCCACCCTTACTCTTTTCCTCTTCGGCAGTCACTTGGTGACTTGCATAAACGGCAGGATAACTTTATTCCAAGGTAATAAAGTGGCTGGTGGATTTAAGCTTTCTTAGACTTGATTTCACGACACGTATGACGTGTTTGTGATTTTCTTCTGAAGCCTTCAGTTAAAATGTGAAAGTCCTGAATTATCCATGGAGTCTGTGGAGCAGTCATGCCTGGATTTATTGCTCCTCCGCATGGAGCAGCTCTTCCTACTTGTTCAACAGGATGCAGTTACATCTTAAATGTTCTCTCACAAGTTCTGTTTTCTCAGTACCTTTGCTTGAGCAGCTGGTCTAATAATGCTGATGATTATAGTAGTAGATACTATTTATGGAGCCTTTACCAGTCATTCTGAAGTCAATGTCATCTCCATTTTATACATGAAGAAACTGAGATTCAGAGTTAAGTAACTCTCTCACCCCAAAAATATATTTAGGGAGTGTGGAACTGGTTGGTCAGACTATATCTGTGACCCCAGAAGCGTAAGGAAACGTGTCCTTATCACTGCCTCTTGACATTAACTACTATTTCTTTTTTAAGCAGCAGCTCCAAGTGTCATCTGTTGTCTTGTCCGTCAGACTCTGCCCTCCCTAAATTGATTTGTCATTATCTCTCACTTGCTTCTTCTCAGTCAGGCCAGACAGCCTTAGTCTTTTAGCTCCATCTGTCACCAAGTCTTGTTAGTACTTACTTAGAAATTACCTCTTGAAATAGTTCCCTCTTCTTCATTCTGGCTACTGTCCTCCTAATCCACTTCCATCGATAACTAATATTTGACTGGTACTTTGGCTTTCATACATATTATTTGAGTTGATTCTTACATTGCTCTTGCAAAATTTGTATTATATCAGTTTCACAGACAAGGAAATGGACACTCAGATGTCACTGATTTCCCCTTTATTACTAGTCCATAGAGGTTGGAACTGGACCCTGTCCTGTTTAATTTTTTTTTAAGTCGTGTGACTTTTTACCATTGCCTTTCAAGAGCATTTTTCATAGCATCCAGATTGTATGTATCCTTTTCACCTCAGTTTATTTAAATGCAGCTGTCACATTTTTATTTCAAAAATTGAGAATATGTAGTTCTCCACTGTTTGTTGCATTCCATTTCAGTGCCTTTGCCTCACAGTGGGTGTACTCTGTACGGTCTGTTGCTGAGTCCTGCCAGGCACCCTGTACTCTCGTTAGGCAGTACTCCTTCACACAAAGATAAGTGGTTTTTATGCCCGGCGTTATTTCTTCAGGATTGCCTTCCATGTCTACATCCTGCCCTTTCTTTTAAGACTCCTGTCCCAGTTCCTCCATGAAGCTTTTTCTTATCAGTTTACCCCTCCATTTAACACAAGCAGCTTTCAAGCCTTAATCTGTTTTTACCAACTGAACCTCCTTTAACCCTCCAAATGAATTCTTATGCAAAATTTCAGTATAAAACATAAGCAGATGAAAGAGCTGCTATGGTTGTAATGAGAGAGACAGGACCCTCCCCTCCCCCTGCCCCCGTTCCTCTGTCACCATCACTGCAACCTCTTACCTGTGTCACAGGGCCCCTGTGTAGAACTCTTTTAAAATGCTGACTTACGTGGTTTGGAAAGCATTGAGCCTTTGATTATAGATGGCCTTTTCCCCCCAAATTATTGTGTGTGTCTTAGCCTTGCCTCCATAAGTTAGAGGCAGTGTGCTACAGTGAAAAATGCGTGGAAGTTACAGGGAAAAGATCTGGATTTGCGTTTTAACCGTACCATTGACAGTGTGTCCTAACTTCCTTTTACCTCATTTTTTGCATCTGTAAAATGGAATAGCAGTACCTACCTTACAGGGTTATTATGAGGGTTCCGACGGAATTAAAGTAAGCGAGTGGGCTCCAAAAATGCCAGTGCCTTCTCATCCGTATTTCTGGGTGATGACTTCATTATGCACACCAGCTTTCTCTGAAGGAAGAGAGCAAGCTTCCTGGTATCCCCACAGCTTTTGTCACCTGGGAAAAGACTGATTTTTTTGCCTTGAGGAGTGGGCTCTGATGCCCCGGCTTGGAGAGATACTCATCCTGGAAGCAGTTGACAGTGACTGGGGGGATGAGGTCATACAAGAACATGTCAGCTTCTGCTGTTGCCTTTGGATGAGAAGGGAAGTCCCGGTAGCCAGAAGAAAGTTACAGTAGTGGGCAGACAGTTTCAGATATTCTTCAAGATCCTTAGACAGTGTAGAACCCATAGCTCTGTTTTTCTTAACTAGTGCAGATATTGGGTTTGAGTTTCAACTTCACCCCTTGGTAACATCTATATGGAATGGGCAGATATTCCTATTTGTCTGCTTCACTGTGTTCTGAGGACCTGTTGAGTCGATAAATCTAAATGTTCTCTGTGAACTCTAACATATACAAGAATTAGAAGACTAATCTGGTCAGAAGAGTTGGGTCTATTTCCCCCTTGGTTCTTCCCTTCTCTCTCTACTTCTTGGATGCCACGGTTAAGTAGCTTTTCTTCTACCATGCCCCTCTGTCATCCTGTTTCTACCTTGGAGCTTTCTGACCATGAATTAAAAACTTGAGCCAATAAAAACCTCCCCTCTTAAGTTGTAGGTATCAGGTATTATGTTTCAGAGATGGAAAAGTGACTCAGACACCAGCCTTGTTTTAAAGTTATGGTCAGATTGTAAATAATAGATTTAGCATCTTCTGAACTTTGAGCTACTCATTTGACATGTTTGGAATGATTTTGGAATGAAAACTGCTACTCAATAAGATTTTAAAATCTTTACTGAATAATGTGACTTTTCAGTGTTGTTGAATAATATCTTTTCAGGAAATCTCAGCCTTATTGATTTTTGATTGTTGAATGTTGTCTTTCCAGGAGATCTCAGCCCCGCTGAGCTAATGATGCTGACTATAGGAGATGTTATTAAACAACTGATCGAAGCCCATGAACAAGGGAAAGACATCGATCTCAATAAGTAAGTGAATCTATAAAAGGAGGGCAATCTTTGATGCTCAGGGGTAAATAGTAATTGGCAGAGCTAAGGGTAGCATTAAGTCATCCGTCTCCAGAGTCCATGTTCTTATCTTCTGTGCCATATTCTACCTCATGTCCTACTTGTCTTTCCTCAGTGGAAGCAATAACTCTCTTTCAGGGCAGCTCTCCCTTTGGGATCCTTGGTGTAATCCAGCATCTCTCTATTTGAGAAGCTCTTTGACCTGTTCATCCTCTTCCACTTCATAATCATGTTCAGCTCGGTCTTTGCTGTACCTTCAAATAGGAGTGATTTTTTTTGTGTTTGCATCTATTTTTTAACTATATATTCACTCTGTATAGATCAACCCTGATGAAAAGCTTCTCCCTGCAACCCCAGGTCATCTAATCCCCACATGCGTGAACTGTGCTTAGATCCTGTTCTCCATTAGTTGAGATGCTGCAGTATTTGACACCTTACCTGAAACATTGTGTGTAGTAAACATTTGCTAAGGGAATAAATATCCTTTTTTGACTATGGAATCATATTTTACCCATCTTTCTACCATGTCTTTAGCAGTTTTTCTTCTATTTTTGTTGGTTACATCCTTAATTAGGAAAATCTTTAATTTCTGGTTAACATTTCTACTGAGGGCATCTAAAGCTGACACTTTAAAACTAGCCCCTGCTCAGATGCCCCCATTTGTAAGTCCTCTTGGGCTGGCTTTAACATACTTTTCCCAGTTTTTAAACTTCTGTACCTTTGTGCTGAAAGTGTCCAGCTGCCTGTGGAGGATAGGCATTCCGTGTTTGCCTCTCTGCCTGCAGTGTCACCTGTGTGTCTGCACTGCCTGTCTGAGGCCCACTCTGTCCCCTGGGCCCCTTTGCCCTGACTCTTCCCAGCACACACCAAACCCTTTCTGAACTCTGGAAGCCTTCACTGTGGTTCATGTGTGGGTTTAGACAGGTGCATTTATCACAACACAGAACATGAAAGGACTACGTCTTCTTCCTTCTGACATGCCAAGAGCTTAGGTGGTCTTCTGTGCATGCTAGGTAACCGGTAATATTTGTTGAACTACAAGCACCCCACAGATATTTCTAGGTGGATTAAAATTAGAAGACAGGAGCCAGGGATTTAGCTCAGTGGTTTCGCCGCCTGCTGCGCAAGTGCAAGGTCCTGAGTTTGATCCCCGGTACCAAAAAGAATAGAAGACAGGATGACTATTAGGGTTTGGTGATCAGGCACAAAGAAAAGAAAAGCTGGTAACGTAGGGAAAGTGAAAGGAATTGTTAGGCTTAAGGGTACCTCTGGGGGTTAGGGATAGGGGCAGGCAGAAATGTTTGCTTCATGATTGTTGAAATGTATTTATATGCCTTATGTTCTGTTCTTCATGCATATAGTATTCTGTCTAAGAAAGTAGTTCTTAACCAGGGTGCTTTCCCCCTTAGGAGACTTTGGCAACAGCTAGAGATGATTTTGGTCATTCCAACAGGAAGAAGGGAGCTAGTGGGAGAGACCAAGGAGGCTGCTAAACATCCCGAGGTGCGCTGGACAGCCTCCCACTCAGAGAAGGCTCTGGCCAAAAGTGTCAGTCGTCCTGAGGCTGGAAAGCTGGAGTGCTGTTTTGAACCAGACCCGTACTGTGTCATCATCCCAGGCTCCTCCTCTATAGTTCTCTGGTTTTCTTGCTGGTACTTAGGGCAAGAAGAGGAAGTCAGTCATGGATTTTGTCCTTTCTTTGCCTTGATATTCACAGATCTTAAAGCCACTGGTTTCCCCTGGTGAACAGGTAGGGCCGTGACAGAAGATCATATCATTTACACATCATCCTATTGGTAGCTTGTACTGAAATACTGTGATTGGGATAAAGCTGGATGCTTCACTTTCAGGGTGAAAACCAAGACAGCTGCCAAATATGGCCTTTCAGCACAGCCCCGCCTGGTGGATATCATTGCCGCAGTCCCTCCTCAGTATCGGAAAGTCTTAGTCCCCAAGTTAAAGGCAAAACCCATCAGAACTGCCAGCGGGGTGAGTGATTTGATTCATGAAATCCTGGTGCGGGTAGCAAGGTGAAGCGGGCGGGGAGGGGGTTCAGACTCATGAGCCCATCTATTACACCAACGGAGGATGTTCAGAAGGCAGAGAGAGGAAGCCAGCTAGCTGTCCTTGAAGGAATAGATGATGTGTTGGTGCCTTGAAACCTAAAGATTGAGGCTTGGTGACCATCACAATATGATAATTGTCATTGGCCCTCTTAAGCTGGTACTTAGAAAAAGTACTGCTCAAAGGTGGTTTAATGGTGCAGAGTGTTGTATATATGGTAACTGTGACATGATTGACAGTAGGGACCACAACGGGATTTGAGAGGACAGCTAGGGAAGTCCCAATACAAGACATGCTGCTCACTGGCCCTGTAGACAGTGCTCAGGTCAGAGGGGAGAGCAGGCTGGAAGGGAAACGGGAGCAAGGGTGCAGGGCACTAAGGCACAGAGGAGTGATGCAACAGGCGTGGCATGTGCGGGGACAGTGAGCACACCAGACGGACAGCAGCTGACAGTCCTTTTGGGAAAGCAGAGGACATTAGTTTGGGATCCGCTCATAAAAGAACGTAAGTGTCCAGCGAAGAGGTTAGGTAACAGGAAACGTAAAGGTTTCTGAGAAAGAGAGTGGGGGAAGGATAGAGAGAGTTAAGATGCATTACGTGCCTGTACCCACTCCCCACGAGGAATGTCATCACTGTGTACTACCAACATCTACTAATATATAAAAATATTTTTAAAAAGAAAATCTTGATACAGCGTGCAGGGTCCTTTGAAACAGAAAGACCAGTTTGGACTCTGTTAATCCAGTCTTCGTGAGAGATGTTAAGGGCCTGATTTAGGGTAAAACTGTAGGAAAACAAAGACTGGGTGTGAGAGACCCAGAGCGAAAGTTGGCAGGGTCGAGACTCTTTCAGATGAGGTCCCCAGCGTCCAGCTCTGTGTCCCTGATGTGATCATACATGCTCAGCCTGCTGTTTGAATCAGGGTATTGCTTCTAGCAGCCTGTGTTGGATTTTTCCTAAAGACATGCCACATTCTTGATCATACTACACTGCTGGACAATTAAATCCTAAAACTACATACAGTGTACCACTAATCCTAGAGTCTTCTTTTTCGTCCTTAAGCCATTTTGTTTTGTTATGTTTTATTCTGTTAGAAAGAACTAATAATCCAGTACCCCGCACCTCCCTCTCCTCATCATCCCCCTCAGTGACTTTCAGCTCTTAGAGATTTCTTTAGCATCTGTTCCCTATCCCTCCACATGTTTTGTAGACCAGTCTTGAATTTTTAGGTGTAAGTATTAAATGTGGGCTCACCACTACAGTAGACAAAGTTTTATCGAGCTTCCCACCTGACCCATGCATCTAACTCATATGACCCATGATGCTGCCCTCTCTAATCCTCCTCTGTCTCTGATCATTTCTGTCCTTTGCTTTTGGGGCTCTCCTTTGTTCTGCTTGCCTCTAAAAGTTGATGTTCCCTGTAATCCTAGTCCCACTGTGTTTGAATTGCACTGCTGTCTTTGGTAATCTCCGCATTGGACGTTTGAGCTGTGATACCGAACATGGGATGGCAGTAGAAATGAGACCAGGCCTAGGAGTGAGAAGAAGCACACAGGCAGAAGCTGATCTGGGAGAGCGTACTTCAAAGGGAGGGGGAACAGTGCTCATGGAGAGAAGAATCAGGCTGGCCCATTAATAAAGACAGAGGCAAGCTTTTTATTCACATATAGGGGGTGTAGGGATGAGCTAGAGTGTGGGAATTTTTACTGGGTCTGGGCATGCCTTTAAAAGGTGTTTTCTTTTTTGTGCAAACATCTTGCTCTTCAGGAATGGGCAACTAGGTCACCCCAGGAACTGTGACATTTTTCCATCAGCAGCCCCATCCTGCTCCAACTTCCTGGCCTTGTGATAGGGTAGAGGTGTTGTAGTTGCTAAGGGAATACCTTGCTTTTAATGAGTAACGGGTTAAGGGTCCAGGAGTGAGTTTGTCCCCTGTCCTTTTGTGGCTTTATTCTCTCATCTGGTTTACTCTGGGAAGATGATGGCAAAGGCATCCTGGCTTGTAACGATGCACCTGGATTTTGAGGGTGATAAGATTGTTTGGGAGGATGAGAGGGTAGGGAAGAACACACGCTGTCCTTTTAATGGGTAACTTAGCTCAGGCCTGAGCTAAGGCCCTGAAGTGCCTCTGCCCTCTGTCCCCATGCTGAGCCTTGTCTTAGCTGTGAGCTGACTCAGCCCTGACCTATCCCTGAACTCCAGATTCGTGTCAGGTTGCAAGGAAGACGTCTGTGCTTTGACTGCCTTAGAACCTCAGGTGTGACAAAGCCAAAACTACCTGCAAATTTGTTTATTCACATTTCCTGTCCATCTTAGTTCCTGGTGCTACCATCCACTCAGTTTCCAAAAACACATCATCTGTCCCCCCATCACAGGCAAGAAAGTGTTGGCCTTTATTCTTTTTTAGATGATTGCAGTCATTTCCTAACAGGTCTACTTTGACTTACGTGCACCACATCCACCTTAGTGCCACCAGAGTGAGTTATAAAAATAGCAGAAAGACGGTCATTCCCTGTGTGCCTGCAATCTCACCTCTGTGATTTATTCTTGCTGTTACTCTGATGGTGCTTTGTTTTTTATAGAGTGCTTTTAGGTCTACAGAAAAATTGAGCAGCACGTACACAGTTTCCATGTACTTCTTCCTCCCCTGGCCCACGTTCCCTGCCACTAATGTCTTGTGTTGGTTTGGTGCACTTGTTACAGCTGGTGAAACAATATTTCTGCTTTCCCCATCTCTGCCCAAGAGCCAGGGATTGAACCCAGGGCCTTGCAAGTGCTAGATAAGCACTCTACCACTGAGCCACACCTCCCCAGCTGCGTTCCTATTGACTGAAGCCTAGAGTCTGCAGTCTAGATCACTCTTGGGTACATTCTGTGGGTTTTGGCAAATGCATAATGTCATGGACCCATCATTATAGTGCCATGCAAACTACTTTCACTGTCCTAAACTCTATACATCCCTCCCCATGATCCAAACCTAACCTGACATCCACCGATCTATTTGTGCCTGTATAGTTTTGCCTTTTCCAGAATGACATATAGTTGGATCATATAGTATGGAGCCTTTTCAGATTACCTTCTTTCACTTAGCAGTATGAATTTAAAGTGCCTTCATGGCTTGGCGTGGTTTGACAGCTCATCCCTCTTTATTGCTGGATGATGTGTCATTGTATGAATGTACCACTACTTGTTTATCTGTTCACCTGTTGAAAGACATCTTGGTTGTTTCCAGTTTTTGGCAGTTATGAACAAAGCTACCATAAACATTAACGTGAAGATTTTGTGTCTATATACATTTTCAGTTTATTTGGGTAAATACCAAAGAGTATGATTGCTGTATTGTATGGCATGAGTATGTTTAGCTCTATAAGAAACTTTGCAACTTTCATCCAAAGTTGCCATACCATTTTGTATTCCCTTTAGCACTTAGAGTTTCTGTTGCTCCACATCCTCATTAGCATTTGGTGTTACTGTTTTGTTTTAGCTATTCTTAGAGTTGTATAGTGATATCTCTAGTTTTGATTTGAAATTCTCTAATGATGTGTATTGAGCATCTTTTCATATAGTACCTATTTGCCATCTGTATATGTGGTATCGAACGACAGTGTCTTTAGTTGTGTTATCATGGCTTCCTCAATGTCCTAAATCAGTTCAAAACATTTACCTTCCATGGTCATTTTGACTTTGTTGAAGAGGCAGAAATCACACAGTCCCAGATAAGGCGAATGAGGCGGATGAGGACACGCCGTGATGCTTTTACCAGCCTGCCTTCTGTTGGATGGCACTTGACAGCAGGATTTGCCATATTTTTGATCACATCTTGTAAAGACACCAAAGAGGTTTTCCAGCGCTACTTCAGAAAGTGGCAAGAATAATGGGATAAGTTTCTCAAATCAAGGAGGGTGAATTCCAAGGGGATTCATGAAAATAAGTCTTTCAGTGTAATAAATTTTTTTAAAAATGTAAGCACTGTATTTTGATCACATCCCATATCTTCTTCAGTCATGTGTCTGTTCAGATCTTTTGTCTTATTCTTAACTGTTTGTTTTCTTAAGTTTTAAGAGTTCTTTGTATGTTTTAGATATGTCCTATATCAGATACAAATTTCACAGATTTTTTTCTCTGAGACTTTTCATTCCCTAAAGCTTTGTTGTTGTTGTTGTTGTTGTTTTTGTTGTTGTTGTTTTGGTACTGGAGATCAAACTCAGGACCTTGCGCTTGTGAGGCAGGCGCTGGAATTGCTTCAGTTTTGTGTTCTGTGTTTTTTTTCTTTAAGTTTTAATGAAATCTAACTTGCCATTTTTTTTCTTTAATGGGTAGCACTTTTGTATTGTATCTAAAAACTCATTGTGAAATTCAAGATCACCTAGATTTTGTTACCTTCTGGAAGTTTTATAGTTCCGCATTTGACAGTTAGATGTATGACCCATTTTGAGTTTGTATTTGTTTGTTTTGCTTGGAACGCCATGATTGTTATTATTAACATACTAGCATCGTTGTTAGTGGCAATCAACGGCTACCACATGTTGACTGTGTGTTAATACCAGCCACTGTGCTAAGCAGTTTGACTATGTTTTCTAATTTAAACTTCAGAATAGTTTTGAGGGTTAAATGATATTGTCTTCATTTTACAAAATAGGGAAATACATAGTAAGAACAGAAAATATTCAAACCTTATTCTCTGTAGTTGACTCCAAAATCATGGCTTTCCCACTCTATCAGTAAGTCTTAAACTGTCTTCTCCAAAACCTCAGATTTCCTTCAGTTTCTTAGGAGCTGCTGAGGGAAATAACAGGGGAGTTATGGGAGTAGATCTCATCTCTGCCTCACCCCAGACTAGTGGCTTTCATCGCTTTTCTATATTGAGGTTCTACATAAAATGTTATCTGAAAGGATCTTGGGCTGGCTTTGAAAATGCCTGCCAGCTCCTGTAGCCTCCTTTGCGAGCCCCACTTCCCCGCCTTCTCTGCTCAGCGTTGGCTTCCCCAGCAAGCATGTTACGTTCTCAGGCAGCCTGGGGGCCTCGCCTGACCGGACTTGTTGCGTAGTCCGTTTTTTCTGCATCTTCTTACCCTGCTGTTTTGAAATAGCCTACTTTCTGTCCTTCTGCTCCGTGAGATAGCATGAGTTCAGGGCCACAGGCAGCGTGCTTTTATTTTGCACCTCAGGCCCATGAGCTCGGCACAGCATGGACCCTGGACCCTGTGCTGGGCGCCCTGTACAATGTTGGTGAAAGGGACTCCCCTCGTCAGTGGGGGTGTGGTTGTGTCTCATTTTAAATAAAAATACTTCCTTGGAAATCTTAAGGTTTTAATTCAGATTTTGAAATGAAAGTCTGGCAAAATTATTTATTTTGGGGTTTCTCTAAATCACTGTTTAATAATGTAAATATGGGTAATTTTTATTGTGAAAAATAATTGCAAACTTACAGCAAATTTAAAAGTACAATAAAAGAACTTTTTACTCCCTAATGATTTGAAAGTAAGTTGCAAAGCCTTTGAATCCTTCAGTGTGTATTTCTTGCCAACAAGGACATTTTCTTCTTTTACCACGATACAGCCATCCACACCAGGAATGTAACCTGCATGCCTTGTTGTCATCTACTCCTGGTCCCTCATTCAAGCTTCACTACCTGATTCAGTCACGCCCACAGGACCCAGTGGAGAATCACCTGGGAGTTTACTCCTCATTCTCGACATGCCCACTCCCTTTCCCTCATGCCCTTGACACTTTTGAAGATTTCGGGCTAGGTGTTTTCTAGCACATCCCTCTATTTGGTTTAATCAAGTGTTTCTCAATAATTAGGTTTAGGCGAGGCATCTTTGGCAGGAACATCACAGAATTCTGTGACTTTCCATACATACGTGGGGACTCATGTAACACATTTTCATCTATGTTCTCATCAGTATCTAGACACTGAAAACTTTGAGTTCACAGCAGTCCTTTCAGTTTTATCCAGCCCAAGGGTTCATTCTAGTTCTTGTCCTTTCTGTATTTCGAATTTCCTTTTCTTCCGGTAGGAAGCCCGGATTGCATTAGCTTTAATGTATACCGTTCCCGCCCACCTGTCTGTCACCAGCTCCTTTCTCAAGCACATCCTTCCCTCGCTGAGCTCGGGCTCTTTTGCACCCTCCAAGACCGTTTTTCACTGACTGGATGGGTCTAGTTCTTGGCCTCATAGTCCTTGCTATAAATGCTTCTATCCAGTGTGTCATGAGGAATTTGAATTACAAAAGTTAGGTTTATATCAAATTGTATAAAATTACCTAATTTTTTTCTTATAGGCTCTTTTAGTAAAAGCAATAAATCAGAGAGAAAACAAGAATCACTGTAGCTTTAAAAATCAATTCCTTATTTTGTACTTAATTTATTATAAAATATATAAAGCTCATATGTATAATTCATATGTACACTTTACAGACGATTAATATTGCAAAGAGCTTGCCTTGTACCCAGCTTAGGAAATATGGCAGCACCTGTATTTCAAGGCCCCTAGGATACCAGTCTGATTGCATTCCTCTCCTTCCTTCAAGGAATATCTACGTTACAGAATTTTGTATTACTTTCCTTAATAGCTTTTTTGTTCATCTTTTTTTTTACAGATTGCTGTTGTTGCTGTGATGTGTAAACCCCACAGATGCCCACACATAAGTTTTACGGGAAACATATGTGTGTAAGTATGGTGATTTCAATAAGTCCTGTGTGTATTTTAACTAAGCCAATAAATTCTGTAAGGCCTTGATAATTTTGTGCTGGTAATGTTTTAAACTTGGTTTTAATAGATTTATAGGTTAGTTCTCTGAAACAAGCAACCATCAGTAGCTATATCAGTATTTTAAAAATGAAACATATAAATATTTTGATTTATTACAATATTAGAAAAAAGTACATACATTTTGGAACTTAGATGAATAGACACCCATTAACTGGACAAATGAAACATGGATATTTGAATTGCCTTAATTCCAATGTTAGAAATTTAAATTTGGATTAGAAGAGTAACAAAATAAAAAAATTATACTTATAAATAATTATTAGATTTCTCAACTTTAGATATTTGGAAGAATTAGCAGAAGCATATGCCTGATTCTAGGTAGGAGCATTAAATGGGAGAGAGGTTTTCCTGAGTGTGTTATAAGAGAACACTATGATGGTTCAAATCAGAAAACTTGGTTCCTGTTATTTGCTATAAAAGTTTATACCTCTGAAGTAACAGTGACTGCAGTATTTTGAAAAACGAATGTAATGGTATTCCTTTACATAGTGATCTTGTTTACTTACTGGTGGAAAATACATTTTTTGTGGATACCACACAGGTAGACTGTTCCGTTAGGATTTGAAGTGAAGCTCATTGGATTCCAGGATTTTATGAAGACTGTTGATAATTGAACTAGACTCTAGAACTAAGTTTCCTATGTGACCCCTTCTTCTTTCACTGTATTGGCAGATACTGCCCCGGTGGACCTGATTCAGATTTTGAATATTCAACCCAGTCCTACACTGGATATGAGGTAAAGCAATTTGAAGTTTTCCCAATGAAGTGTTACATCATATTTTACCCAGAGTGTGGCTTAACAAGTCCTAGCCTTCTAAAAAGTTTTAGCTTTCTTTTCTGACTATCAAAGCCGTTGATTCACCAAATCGTTGCTCTGTGTTTCCTGTGCCATGTGTTGTTCCAGTCACTGACGTCAGCACTTACACTGATAAATTCCAACCACGGTCCTAAGTGCTTTACTGTGTTAAACCTTACAGCAGTATTTGGACATAAATGCTGTGGCTGCCCCACTTTTACAGGTGAGGACGCTGGGGCATAGAAGGCTTAAACAGCTGGCGTAGAGACACTGCCAGCACATGGCAGCTCTGTACTCTTATCGCTGTGTCTGCTGCCTCTTCAGCAGCAAAAAGTGGAATCTCCATTCTAACAATGGAAGATAAGCAATAAGCAATCAAGAACGTCAGGTGCTAACAGGCTGATTAGAGAAGTGAAATTGAGTGAGGCCAGTGGCACTGTGAGGGTGAGGAAGGGATTCTCTGGGGAGGCCTGACAGACCATCAGGAAGGTGCATTCAAAGCCCAGAGAACGGCCACAGAAAGGGCCAAGGTGGGATGGTGGGGGTGTCCTGGAGCACGGGAAGCAGGGGAGACCGTGAGGCTGCAGAACTATGGTTCATATTTCAGGATTTTCTATCTCCTAGCCTTCTTTTGTACTCCTCCTTACAGTGGACATTTAGGGTTACCTCTTTGCTCTGCATCCTTCAGTAGTATTTTACGCATCTAAAAGCATATACATATTCTTTACCCTGCCTTTTTTCATATAAAGTAGTGTATGAAAGCAGTATTCTGCACCTTGCTTTTCCACTTTACAGCCTATCTCAGAGAACATTGTACACCAGCGCATCGTTTCACAGTTGTAGAGTATTCCATTGAAAGAGAGTAGCATCAAGGCTCTTTGCTAAGTCATCACAAACTGTGTGTACTGAAGAACCTCGTTCATGGGTCGTTTTGCCACATAAATCTCTTTGAGTTTGTGTGCACACCTGTGTGAGTAGGAGAGCATTTTGGAGGCCCAGGGGATTTCATAAGCATTTACGCGAGAGGCAGATGAGGTCCCAGGAGAAACCTTGCTGTTGAGGCCCTGCTGGCCGTGGGGGTGGGACTCCCCAGATGTTACACAGGGCAGCGTTTTCAACCCTGACGAGACCGAGAACGGAAGATGGGCTGCAAGACAGGTTGTTAGTATGCAAAACCAGAGAGAATTTTATTATTTAATACATCTTTTCAGAACTACTTTTTAAATTGATGACCGTTAACAATATTTTTTTCTTTTTTTCTTAGCCAACCTCCATGCGAGCTATTCGGGCTAGATACGACCCTTACCTGCAGACAAGACACCGGATAGAACAGGTAAATTTTGAAAAAGCATTTTTTAAATTTTTTGTATTATTAGTACATATTGATTTTACAAAATAGCGTGTTTCACTATGGTATTTTCTTACATGCATATAACGTATTTTGATTATATCCATCCCCTTATTGCCCTCCCTTGAATCCCTGAAGTAATATGCTTTCAATTAAATTTTTACACTTAATAAGAAGGTATGTTGCTTCATTATAAAATAAAAGCTAAGAATAGAAATATCTCCTTTCTGAGTTGTTCGTACTTGTCCAAGGGAGGGAGGATATTTTGCAGTGTCTGGCATGGTCAAAAATACTACTATTTTTTTTTTTTTGGTACTGGGGTTCGAACTTGGGTCCTTGCACTTGCCCAGCAGGCGGTGAAACCACTGAGGTAAATCCCCGGCCCAAAAATACTACTTTCTTTGGAGACTGTATTGTTTCTTTAAAGGTTTATTCTGTAGAAAGTCACATGGTATGAAATCTATGGAATGAAAGTGTGTGAAAGTTCTTGGACGATAGTGAGTGGGTTGAATTTTAGATTCCGTGAGCTGGGCCAAGAAGTAGTGTGACAGGTTTACAGGTAGGAATTGAGGAACCTCGGAGGCTTATGGGATTGTTCTATATCATGACTTTGGTGGTGGTTGCATTATTTAACTAAACATTTACCAAAACTCGCCCATTATCCATTTAAAGTTAATGGATTTTATTGCATATAAATTAGATCTCTACTTAGCTAATTAAAAACAGGTACTGTGTGACCTTGTGCTATTCTAGAAATCTAAACATGAATACAGATTTTCTTTACTTACAACTCTATTTTAAACTTGTCCAATTTTTAAAATGTAAAACATCATTTGTAGTTGTTATAGTAACATATGTTAGGGCAAATATAAGGTCTAAAATAATAAGTGGTATATACCATACTCAATAAATTGCTTCAGGGTTTCTTTAACTATTAGTGAATACCATCTGGTTCTGATTTTCACTGTGCTGTCATCCAAGCATATATGGGACAAGATTATCAGCAATAGGAGAGGACCCCCATCTCGGGAGCCTACATATCTTGGAAAAGCATGTTCTAAACTGAGCTTGGCTTCAGTTTTGGTTGGTTTTTTTAAAGCTATAGTATTTAACTCATTGAAAATGCAGAACTGTGTTTCAACAGAGTGTGAAATGTTTATGTTTACTAAAAAGGAGCCTGAGCTTTGGAGATTTAGAAACTAAAATAGAGTGACAATTCTTTTCTAACTGTAAGTGCACCATAATCATTGAGTAACTTCCAAGACATAGGCAGATCTTCACCTCCTGAGTCCTGGTAAGATACTTTGAAAATGTTATCAGAGTGATTTTGATTTGTATTCCTTATAAACAACCATAGATATAGAAGTAGAATGTTCTTTTAGTGTTGAAGAATATATATATATGTGTGTGTATATATATATATATATATATACATACACACATATAATATGAGTTATTTGCCATGTTCAGAAAACAAGTATAAAAAGGTGCCCTTCTGCCTGTAATTAGCGTAGTCACCCCTACATAGTATAATAATTCTAGTTTATTATTTGGCAGTTTGCTTAACCTGGTTTCCTCAAGGCTAAGGATACAGCAAGAAATTTAAATACCTATTTTTAAAAATTACAATCTTGGCTTATTGTAGTCGACAGGATGAAAGATTTGTGCCATTATGTTGTCTAGTAGGGGAGACATAATATTTCATTTTTAATCAATCACTCACGTCCATGAGTTTTTTCCTCCGAGAAAGCAGGCTTGGGGGTCATCTGTGCCTGCAGTCTTCAATTGTAAACTGATTTCTTGATTTTTCTTTCTAATTTACTATTCTTTTTTCTTCCCTTTATGAAGCTCTGATTATGTTGTATACTCATGCATGCATAATTGTTTCATAATCTGAAATGTTTCCTTTTTGTCCCCAAGGCTTACCACAGACGCTGACATAAGATGTATGACCTATAAATACTTATCATATTGCATTTTGTATTATATTGTCTTTACTACTTTGTCGTGTATATTCCTTGTGTTTTAAAGTTTCTGTATAACTCCAAGTATTGAAGTCAACCTTTTCATTTATTTTTCATTTTCTCCTTTCCTTATTTAAGCCTTAATTTTTTCCTCTCAGGTTTTTTTTGTCCACAGAATTAGCTAAATATGTTTAATTGCTTTTCATCTTTAAACTATACTAATAAATTGTTGCAAAATAAAATAAGATATTTTGTAGTACCCAGTTACAACAGTTGCCTATAACTTCCTAATGCTGTTGAATTTATGTTTCTTTCAGTTAAAACAGCTTGGTCACAGTGTGGATAAAGTGGAGTTTATCGTGATGGGTGGAACTTTCATGGCCCTTCCGGAAGAATACAGAGATTATTTTATTCGAAATTTACATGATGCCTTATCAGGACATACATCCAACAATATTTATGAGGCAGTCAAGTAAGAAGTTATTCTTTATCACACTCTCCAAAGTTTTTGCCAGTTTATCCTTTTAGAAGTATGCTTCTAAGAAAGCTTCTGTTCTCTATTCCTGTATTCTACATCCACATTCTTATTTCTTGTACTCTCCCTTGTTTTGTGGGAAAGGATCATTTTCATTGAAATAATCCTTTTAAAAAATGAATGAATGAAAAGACCAGCCAGGCACAATAGGACATGCAATCCCAGCTACTCAGGAGGCTGAAACAGAAGGACTGAAAGTTTGAGGTCAGCCTTGGCAGCTTACTGACACCCTGGCTCAAAACAAAATACATATCCATTGACATAGTATTCTAAAATAGAGAAATTCACAAGATATGGTCTGTAAAAGGTCTTTTCAGACTTAAGTTGATCTGAACTACTATCCAAACTAGGACTAATTTTGATTGAGGTGGATACTCTGTCAGAAACATTTAGCCGCTATAAAATCAACAAAACAAGTGACTATTTTTAAAACCTAATTTATTAGTGACTGTGATAACTATTACATAATTTCTGTTTTTGAATGGGCTCTTAGTCTGTTTGGTGCTGCTATAACAAAATACCTGAGACTAGGTAGTTTATAATCACAGAAATTTATTATCTGATGCTTCTGGAAGTTGGGAAGTTCAATATCCAGGTGTTAGCATCTGGCAAGCACCTTCTTGTGTTACAGCAGGAGGGCAAGAAACACAAAAAGGGACCTAACTTACTCTCTTATAACAGTGTTATCCCACAGAGAGGGCTGAGTCCTCATGGCCTAACCACCTATCCAATGTCCTACCTCTTAATGCTGTTTCACTGGCAACTAAATTTCAACATGGGGTTTGGAGGGGGCAAACATTTGAACCATAGTGGATTCACTTACTCATTCTGAATTCTATTGGAAAAAACAGAAGTATGAATTCCTTTGATACTTTGTATGCCAGAGTTTAGCAGGAAGAATGCCAAGGTTTCATATAAAGTTCAATAATTTAAAAAGTGAAAGTATTAAAATAGATTTTTTGTTTTGAGAATACTTAGGAAGCTACTTGTTTGCTGTTGTTATTGTTTTATCAGATGTTATCTGTAGAGCCTGTTAGGTACTAGGCACTGTTTTAGGCTCTGGGAGCCACATGGTGAATAAGAGAAACATTGTTCTCGTCCTTATGGTGTTTTCATTTTGCTGTTCAGAGTAAGTGCTGCAGCAGCAACGGACTGCTGTGATGCACAGGACTGGACTAGAAAGAGTAGCCAGTCCGGCCTCAGCTGAGGGGATGAGATGAAGGCACCGAAGTGGGAAGCAGCTTGAGGAGCAGTAGTTGGATCAGGTGCTATGTGCTTAGTAAATGCCAAAGTCTTTGAACTTTAGAAGAGATCCCAGTGAACAAGAGGGAAAATGCCAGACTGTACATACTTGTGAGGAGATGCGGGTTTTTGTGAAATGCAGTAGGAAGGCAGATGGTTCCAAGAGGAGAGTGCCGTGTTTGGGTTAATGGGTAAGGTCATGACAGCTACTGTTGGCTAACGGTTTAGAGGGATGCAAGAGTAAAAGAGAGAGTGGATAGGACTATCGGCTACGTCAGAGGAAGGTGGTGGCGGAGGCAAAGGGGAAGAGCTTGGGGGTAAAGGAAGAAATCTAGCATGGCATGCAGGTTTGGGCTGAAGGCAGTGGGAAATGCTGAGATGGAAGAAGCTGAGAAAAGAGCAGGTTTAGGGGAGAGAACCAAGAGATTTTCTTTGGGTATGTTAGGTTTGAAATGCCTGTGATACATTCAAGTGGAGGTGTCCGGTAGGCTACAGTTACAGAAGCCTGGGCTGGCACTAGAAAATTGGGGGTGACCAGCTCATAGGTGCTATTTACAGCCATATAAATGAATGAGGTCGCCTAAGGGAAAGCCTCAGATCTCCAGGGTACACTAAGTGAAAGAGCACTGTGCAGAGCAGTTCTTACACTGTGATGTCATCAGTTATGTGTCCATGAACGTGAGAGAGAGAGAGAAGGGGCAGTAGAACTGTAGTCATCAGAGGCCTTAGAGGTGAGGAGGAAGGGACAGGGGAAACAGGAGAAAGGGGCACGTGTACATTTGCTTTGTAAGCAGTGCCAGGCATTGCGACAGGTGCCTGATTCATTTATACTCACAGTAAGTTTGAGTTAAGTATTCAGATTATCTCTATTTTACAGATGAAGAAGCTGAGTCAAAGAGAGAGGAAGTAACTTGTCCAAAGCTACAAACAGAGCTGCTGGCAGAGTGAGGCATAAACCCCAGGCAGGGTCTAGGGGTGTAACTCAGTGTAGAGTGTCTGCCTGGTACGCATGAGGCCCCAGGTTCAAGCTCCAGCACTGCAAACAAATAAAAATAAAGAAATAGACCCCAGGCTGCTTTGCTTTCCAAGCCTGACCTCTGCTGTAATGCTAAAAGCTACTAGGTGTAACAATTGTGCCATGTGTACTGTATATGTGTATGTATATGTGTGTGTGTGTGTGTGTGTGTGTGTCCATGTCCATGTACACCCATGTGTACATCATCAGAGTTTGCAAGTATCAATAGGAATGTGGCCTGTAATTGCCACCACCTTCAGGCTTGTCTGTGGCTTCTCATTTATAAGAAAAAGGGGAACATTATAGGGCTGATTATAAGGTTCTCAGACTGTACCCCTCTCAGAGATTCTGTGTGGTGATGGTAGGACCTGATTTTGAGTGGAGAGAGTGTGGCTTTATTACCCTGAAATCAAAGCAGTTCTTAGTACATAGTAGGCTTAAGTAACTGTGTGACTAGATTTTGAATGAGTGATTAATCTGCAGATCAAATATTGACAACTACTGATGTTGGTAGGATTGCCTTTTGAAATTGGGGATAGGGACATCTTTGTGTGCCATCCCTATTAGTCTCTTGTGAGTTTGTAAAACATGAAAAGAACAGAGGGGCTTTTTCATAAATTTAAATAAGCACTAAGGGTAGCTTGAGGGGCCTGTGTAGTCGACTGCTGGGCGAGTATGCACGGTGATTGACTCCAGGTATGTGACAGGTGAATTCTGTGTCTCTGAATCCAGACTTTTTGCAGTGTGATCTGCCCCCACGGGGGCTTCAGTGCAGGATGAAATGGGAACTATTTTTGCCACACATTCAAAACTTTGATCATTCATGAGTGTGAGTCATGCTTAGTAAAATGCTGAAGTCTTCAAAGTTTAGAGGAATAATGACACCATCCAGCTCATTCCTCTTGATACTGAAAAATCACATGACAGCTTTGATAAAATGCAATTGAGGAAACAGACTTAATTAGTTCAAAGCCACAAGACTTTGGAATGGCAGCAGTGCCTCAGAGGGTCACTGCTGAGATTCAGTCAACTCGGAAACTGCCCTAGCAGAGTGACTGTCCCAAGCTTATGTGTTTATGTACTCCTCTCTCAGTGCAGGTTTCTTGTGCCGAGACCTTGCCTGTTAAGTGGAATTGAGCTAAAAGTATCTTAGATATGTGCTGCCCGCATACACCAGCTTCCATACAGCAGTTGTCCCAGCCCAGGCCTATATGATGAGTATCTAGCACTTAGCTAGCTTGCCATTGTCATCAGTTGAAACTAACAAAATTGCTTCATTCTTGATGTGAAGCTTTGTGGAGAAATGTTGTTCTAGTGCTGTTAACGCGAGTGAACTTCACATCACATGTCACGATGTGTTTATCCAAAAAGCCCTGGGGAGAAGAAAGCCTCTTTCAGTAATGGAGGAGGCAAAGCCACTGTTGTTTTGTTTCTATTCTTGAATTTACCTCAAGAGGGCAACAAGCACTTTACTTTTCAGATAAAAATTTATATATGATTTGAGTCTTCACTGCAACAAATCTTGTGAATGGCTCTTGGGAAATAATAAAAGTGCAATCCGGGATCCATAAAACCATCCTTAATGCTGCCTTGAGCCCTGCCAGCCCACACTCTATGTTTTGCCCTGTTCTCCTACTCGCTATATTTTTATGAGACAATGTGAAAAAAGCCAGCTTGTGAACTCTTGTTAATTGTTGGGGTGAATTTTTTTTGCTACCACCTCTCTGTACCAGAGCTGGTATTTGCTTTTGGGGGAACATGTTAATTGAACAAGTAGTCTGACTTGAAGTAGAGAACTAGACACAGAAAATTATTTTCAATTGTTAGCATCATTATGAAATAAGGAGCAGTCCAAGACAACTGTGTTTTTGAGACATTGCATCCTTCTCAAGATTTTTGGATTCGACCTTGCTGTTCTCTGTATTAAGTTGTGCAGAAAGTGTGTGAAAACTGGCTGATTTTCCCACCATGGCCGGTCTCCCTCTGATGTAAAGTGATGAAATTCAGGTTTATTTTGCTACTAATAATTAGATGTTTGTGCTTGCTAACTATACAGGTATAAGCAACTTTCATTAGCTTTAAAGGGTGTTTTTAAAGATTACTTTTAAACTAGGTTGAAAATTATATACTGAGGCAGGCGAGTTGACAGTGTTTAAGGGTAAAAGTCTTTGTTCAAACTGGGATCAGGCTTCTCCATTAGCTCATGCGCCCCTGCCCTGTTTTCATGCACCTATCCTGCTAAAGCTTTGCCTCTTACTCACAAGATCAGGAATTACGGTGAAGAAAAACTCCACCAAGGTGAGCCTGGTTATCTGTGGCCAGTTAGTGGCAGGCAGCACATAATATCCCTGCAGGTGGGGAACTGGAAAGCTGAGTAAACAGAGATCCGTTCAAGGACAAAGCAGGTGTGGTCTCTGGGCAGGCGCGCTACATTGAGCACAGCGCTAATCGTTATGATCAGCTCGTCTCCGGAGAGTGACGATTACTGGGGACTGTCATCCCTAAGAATCATAGCTCTGGAGATGACGAGGCCTGACAGTGGGGTCTGAGTCACCCATTCACAGGGATGCAAATGTTGCTAAATAACTCAGAACAACCTTTTAAAGGAGTTTTATTACTTTTTAATCAGCTCTGCCCAGAAGCAGGTTCACATTCACTCTTTAATGCTCCTTGGCTGTTTTCACAAGATCCAATTTAAAAAGGGTAGTTGCCCATCAAGAAGTGGGTGAGTCACACTTTCTCCCTTGGAATTTTTAATTCATTTCCGTTCCTTCTTTTTCCCCTCACCAGTGCCTTTAAGTCCTCCAACTTCATCCTTATGTGTCTTGGGAAAGCTACAGTGCTGGCTAATGCTGGGTATGCAGATTTATGAGGGAAGCAAAGCGACCTAGAAGGCTTGAAAGTGACTGCGTCTTGCCTTGCTGCTGGGCCTTAGAACCTCGGGCCTCAGAACCTCCTGAATGTCTGGGCTTTGAATCTGGTACTCCCTACTCCTCACTTTATATGTTGACCGCTTTACTTACCTTGATTTTCATAAATGGTCCTTAGCCATGGCTAAGCAACTTCAGATACAGCCCTGGCTATCTTAAAGGAGATGAAGCTAGTTTTTCTTCCAGCATTTTATTTGAAACAAAAATTGAAAGAATTTCCCAGTGAGCATCCACAGAATCTGTCACCTAGATTCTGCAGTACCTACTTTATCACGTCTGTCCATTTCACTATCCATTCATCAGTCTTGTGGGTGTGTGTGGGTGTGTGTGTGTGTGTGTGTGTGTGTACATTTCATAGAAAGTTGCATGCTTTAGTATACTTCTTTCCAGATATGTACCTTTTCCTGTATTACCTGGGTTCATTGTTTGGTGTTTTTCTTTCGAAGTAAATTTACATATAGTGAAATATATGGATCTTAATTACATCAGTTTCGACAAATGTATATACCTATGCAGCAAAGCCCTATTAAGAGATAGAACATAATTATCCCAGAAAGTTGCCTTATGCCCTTCTCAAGAAATGCTCACTTGTACCTTCCAGGGGCAGCTGTTCTGATATTTTCCTTACCCATTTCCTCATCTATTTCATAGGTGGATTTTGCCTATTCCAGAACTTCATATAGTTGAAACCATCTAGCATGTAGTATTTTGTGTAAGTCTTCTTTTACTGAGCATAGTATTTTGAGATTCATCAATGTTATTAGGAGTTCAGTACTTGCTACCTTTTCAGTGACAAGTAGTATTCCATCATATGCATCAACCAGTTTGTTAATGGACCCTTGGGCTATTTCCAATTTGTGACTATGTGTAAAACTTCACAGAACATTCTTAAACATGTCTTTTGAATATACGTATTTAATTTCTCAGGGTAGTAACTAGAATTGCTAGGTTTGCTTAGTTTTATAAGAAACTGTCAGCCATTTTTCCAAATGGTTGTACGATTTGTACTCCCACCAATAGTGGCTGAGCACTTGATTGTTCTGTATCCTCAAAAACAAATGATGTCACCAATCCTTTTGGTTTTTGTGTGTGTGCACTTGCGCCGGGGCCTCACATATGCTACACAAATGCTCTGCCACTAAACTGTACCCCTTCTCCAGAAATCCTCACCTGCGCCTTCCAGAGGCAGCCGTTCTGATTTTACCAGTACCCAATGCTGGTGCTACACAGTGTTGATTACTATAGCTTCTTACTGCGTCTTGAAGTCGAGCAATGTGAATCTTCATCTTTGTAATTGCTTTTCAGGATTGTTTTAGATAGTCTAAGTCCTCTGTATTTCTTTGTGAAATTTAGAATCAGCTGGCTAATTTCTATTTAAAAAGTGTGATGGAGATTTGAGAAAACTGACAATTTATTGTCTTCCAGTTCATGAATATAGTCTATCTCATTTATTTATGTCTTCTTTAATTTCTGTTAGCAGTGCTCAGTGTAGAGATTTTGTAAGCCTTCTGTAAATTTTTTTTCCAAAATATTTTTGTAGATGCTACAGAATTGTACTTTAGGTTGTTGGCAGCGTTATGTGTGCAGTTGATTTTTGTATGTTTACTTCATATCATAAGACCTTACTAAACTCACATCCTGACTTGAATTTCCTTAGTGCTGTGTCCTTGGATAAGCTGTTTGTTCTCTTTGAACATCAGTGTCTTCATCTGCAGAGGGGATGATAGAACTCACAGAGCTGGTGAGAGGTCAGCATGCCGAGAGAGCCCATGGCCCAGTACTTGGCCCGGGGTGGCCTCATCAGAGTGACTCTCTGTCCTTTCAGCTCACCAGCCCCTGTGCAAGTGATCAGCATTAGGACCATTAACTCTCTAGCTGAAGTCTAAAGTGGAGCTCACTTCTCTGATACCTGCTTTTTGTAGATGACAAAAATGTTTTCTGATTTTATAAATTATAACTAAGAGTAATGGGCTTGGTGGAAAGACTTCTGTATGAGTAGGAGACATTTCATCTAAATTATTCCTATGATCATTACACATATTCTCCCTCCCCTTTTTTTCCTCTTATTTAAAATGACTCTGAAACACAGAGTGGGAAATAAATAATGCAGATGGTTTTCACTGATGTGAAAAATGGTTGCTAGGAATTGAAGAATAGGTTTTCACAGTTGAAATCACTGTTTTCCTGAAGATTATACTTGCACACTGCATGAGAATAATGAGGATAATGATAATAACATTACGATCTGCTAGTTCAGTCACGTGGGTCCTGTGAGGTGCAGGTACCGCTATTATCGTCATTTTGCAGATAAGGAATCCAAAGCCCAGAGAGGCTAATAGCATTGGCATTTGCATAGTTAGGAAGTAGCACAGCCAGGATTTGAACTTCGTCAGCCTCCATAGCCTGCTCATAACCACTGCCCCATCCTGGGCGGACTAAGGGAAGGCAGTCGTTTGAGTGGAAGAAAATAACCAAGACTATAGCAGATCTGTGACTGTCAATGTGCTTGACAGGTATTCTGAGAGAAGCCTCACAAAGTGTGTTGGAATTACCATCGAGACCAGGCCAGATTATTGCATGAAGCGACACTTAAGTGACATGTTGACCTATGGCTGCACGAGGCTGGAGATCGGAGTGCAGAGTGTGTACGAAGATGTGGCCAGAGACACCAACAGGTGAGAGGGGAGCAAAAGATCTTGCTCAAGTTGTCCTATCCCTCTCCTCCCCAGTGTTCCCACATTCATGCACGTTCTTCCAACTGGTCTCACATGGAGGAGTTTGAGATTCCTCCTTTCCGGAGTCTTTCCCTCTGGCCTGCTCTTCAGTCCATCCCCTCTTCCCTTCTTTTCAGTCCTTGCCTATGGGTCCTCTTCCAGTAGCCTGTAAACATCCACATCCTACTCCCCATCCTTGCCATAGACAGCTTTTCCCATGTAGGTGGCAGGAGGCTGTTGGGGTAATTTATACAGGAAATAGCGATATCCCATTAAGAAGTGAGTGGCAGTGTTTGGTGACTGATTAGAAACAAAAATAGAAAGTTTGGAGAGAGATAGGTTTCATTTTGGATATATTAAGTTTTAGTTATTAGCGGAACCAGGATGAGTACCAGTGGAAGAAGGTTGCTTTAGAGGAGAGCTAGCTGGTGATCAAAATGCTCTATACCTGCACTGTCCAATGTAGTACAACTGAGAAACTGAATGTTACCTTTTATTCCACTTAAGTAATTTGAAAACCACACATACCTAGCAGCTACCATATGATACAGTGTAACTTTGAAGGGTTGGCTATTTGGGCATGGAATTCAGAAGACAGGCCGAGCCCCGTCATAGAAGCTTGGGAGTCCTCAGCCAAGAGAGATTAGAAATTGGAGCCATGGGAAGGTCCAGAGGGAGTATGGTAGAACCCATGATTTCTAGGATCTTCCTGTGGTAAATGGGAATGGCCTGGTGGAGGAAGGAAGGGGTCGACACCAGGCTCCCCTCTTCAGTGCTCCAAACTGTTGGTGAGGCTTGCTTCCTACTTGGCTGTGGTGCTACAGTGAGGATTTACCCATGTGGCCCTTACCGATCCTGCCTTCTTATGAAAGCATTCTTTCTTTCCAATTTTTCTTAGTTTAAGGACCCTCCGGTGAAATCTATTTTTGTGTTTTGGGGTTCACTCTTCCTCTCTCTCCCAGTAGTTTCGCAAGATGTTTAATGGAAAGGGTAAAACAGGCTGCAGCTTCTGCATAGTTTTGAGCTCATTGTTCTTGTTTTAACACAGATATGTACATTAGTGAGCTTGTTTTGACTGATGATACTGACCCAAATAACTGCAATACACATTAATTCTTAGCACCCTGTCATTTACTTCAGGACTATGCATAGGCACAGAAGGGGAGTTCCGAGACATATTTCCGAAGCAAGATGACTTCTTTCCAGCCCGCTTCAGAGGTTTCGCTTCCCCAGCTGTACATTTCTTGGCCTCACAGATGGTCTTACTCTGCCCCTGTGTTAACTCTGTTGTCCATTTGTTTGCATAACAGTAGTGAATTTTCTTTCCTCAGGGGCCACACTGTCAAGGCAGTATGTGAGTCATTCCACCTGGCCAAAGATTCTGGTTTCAAAGTTGTGGCCCATATGATGCCTGATCTGCCAAACGTGGGACTAGAACGAGACATTGAGCAGTTTATAGTAAGTGTCACCTACACCAGGCTGGTGTAAAATGCCTCTGTGTGCTGCGTAGAACCTCTGTGGTTTGATTGCTTGTCAGCCATTGATTTTCTCCATTATTGAAGCAATGCATCCTCATTATGGAACATTAGAAACGCAGTAAAGAGAAGTCACCCACAGCCTTAATGTCACACAAAACTCCTTTAATACATTCTTTCCAGACTTTTTCCTGCTTTGGATTTTGGGGGGATGAGATTGTTTATGAACATACAACATAGTCACGCATACATGCCCACATACATATGGGATGGGTAATTCTTTTAGTAGCTTTTTTTACTTAACATTACAGTAAGCATTTGTCCATGTTGCAGCCTGAGCCTGTTAAGATGTTAACATATTTTAACGTCTGTGATTTAATCTGGCGTACTTTGCTTTACTGGTTCCACATTTTTTTCCAAATTTGAACTCTGGCCCCACCACCTAGTAGCAAACTGTTTCACTGCTTCTTTCCTTGATTTCTTCACCTCTTCAGTGAGGCCAGTACAGTATCCAGCAGTGTGGAAACAACTGAGGTGCCACACGCGACACCCAGAAAGATGCCTGGCACACAGGGCTCAGTACAGAGCGGCAGCTGCTAGTGTGTCCTGTCCGGCCAGAGGTCCTCTTGGCTGCCCCTGGGTGTCTTTCAGAGCTGCTGTTCTTCACTCCCATGTGACACAGTTAGCATCTCACCATTCACCACTGCAGCCTTGCTTCCTTTGGGTGGTTTTGAAAAGTTCCTGTCCTATCCTATCTCTTCACTTGGCCCCATAGTCTGCTGTGGGTGTGAGAGAAGTTGGCCCAGGGTTAGACTGCACCATGGCTAATCCCTGCCCAACAGAGAAGTAACTTTCCGTTCTCTACTCACAGGAGTTTTTTGAGAACCCTGCTTTTCGTCCTGATGGTATGAAACTCTACCCTACCCTGGTGATTCGTGGCACAGGGCTGTATGAGCTTTGGAAATCAGGACGATATAAGAGTTATTCTCCTAGTGATCTGATCGAACTGGTGGCTCGGATTCTAGCCCTTGTTCCTCCATGGACTCGAGTGTACCGAGTGCAGAGGTAGTGTGTTGTCTTATATTCCCCAAATAATTGGTGACTAGTCTGTTTAATAGTTCTAATGGGAATGGTCTGATTTTACTGAACATTTTGAATTGTTTTATTAAACATAGAATATCTGGAATTCTACCTGTCAATACAGAGGGATGGAAACCAAAGGACAGCATGTCCAAGCGACTTTACCAGCAGCATATTTATTCACTCATCTGTTCATGAGCCCAGAGCTGGAGGCATGATGGCAAGCATGCATGAAACCTGCTTCTGGGGGGCTTCTGGCCCGGATCAGGGTTTCCTCCGGTGGGGCTCCTGCAGTCTAGGTCCAGTAAAGGGACTGAGAGGAGCTCGTAGAGCAATGTGTCTTATCCGGGTTCTGGAGCCTCCAGAAGAAAAAGAAAGGGTAGCAGGGTCATTTGTATACATACTCATGTACATGTGGAAAGTGAGAGACATATTCCTGGTGGCATGGAAAATAATCTGTTCCCTTCCTAGGAGAGGGAAAATAAGATCACATTTGCAGCCGCACACCTTTTTAAATGTAATTGAATTATTTTACTGGAAAGATAACATTGAAGAAATATTTTAGAAGCCATAAGATTACCTGCATAACTCCAGTCGTAACAAAGCCCTTCCTGTGCTTGCCAGTCATTAAGGTACATTCTCACTACCCTGCCAAAAAAAGGCCTGCACTATCATATTATAATTGCAAGGCACGAAGCTGACCAGTAAAAGCATGTACAATCAGTTGCTGTTGCTGAGCACAAAAATGCGTTTCTGATCATACAAAGCAGTGAATACTGAACATAAGCAGAATTACCAGCTACTTAAGGAGAATTGTCAAAAATATAAAATAACGTATTTACCTAAAGATCAAAAGACATTGAGACCATACTTCTGCCACAGCACACTAACTTCGCAGAATCTGGAAACCTGAGGCCTAAGTCGAGGATCTAAGTTACTTGTATGATCTCTGTTTTTTAAAATATAGCAAGAAATACTCAGGTGACACTGAATAGGAGAGTAGTTAGCTGTTAAAATCATTTGCATCCTCCTTTTTCAACCCTTCTGGAGTAATTCAGCCAGAAGACATTAGGGGGTGCTGAGCAAGGTAGGCATCCACACAGGGAGGTGGGAGCTGCAGCCCACGCAGGGTGAGAAGTGGCGTGTGTGGGGGAGGTGGCAGCGTGGTGCAGGCTGTTGAAGCCTGAATGTGGCGCCCAAAGTGTTGGTTCCTGCGGGGAGCTGATTGGTACAGATGTCAGAGTGGAGCAGCGTGTGGAGGAGCAAGGAGAGCAGAGAAGAGGGGACAGCAGCAAAAGATTGGTCACTTACAGGAGTTGAGCTAATCAGTAGATATATCAGGGATAATGGGGGCTAGGTTTTTTAGTCTGAGAAAGCAATTGCAGATGTGAAAAAGCAAAGAATGAAGTGAGTGGTCTGGTGTTTTCGAATAGAAGATACTGGTGTTTTCCACATACAGTTAAATACATAAATATATGTAAATATAGTGAGCAATAATGAATCTAATGTATGTGGTGAGCAGTATTTTATAGACCTGACTGCACTTGATACTGTACTCACTTCTTGGTTGCTAAATGCCTGCCTTCACTAAAAGGAACCAGGGCTCCTTAGAGAAATGACTGATTTAAGGCCTGGAGCCCAGAAAGCACAAGATGAACCTGGAACCTTTTGTGCAAAAAGTGAGGAAGTATTCAAAGAAGAATGAGGAAGCCAGCTGAAAGGGCTATCATTGGCCAAATCCGGGGCAGTTTGAGCATCAAAATTAATATTGGTGTTAACAGATTATAACCAACTAAATAAAGTAGGAACCCATGATAAACATAATTAGATCAATGCTCAAAAACATATCAACAGTCTTGTGATGTGCAGATTCAGTGTTTGCAAATCTGCCTGGCTGATTAAAGGTATTGGGACTCAAAATCAATACTTCCAGCACTTCTGCCACAAGTCATTCAGACCTGAGATGAGCAGTGAAAAATCTGAGTTGCTCGGCACACACCTTCTCAGAGGGTCAGCAAGATGACCCTCTGCCTGCTTTTCGTAGCTCCCACACCATAACACGTGTCCCTTCTGCAGTCTAACGAGTGCTACATTTTTAAAACTTTTGAGCAGTTAGCTAGGGATTGACTCTTAAAATGGCCTTAAACACAGAGCTGAGATGCTGTTACATACTCCTAAGCACAGGGAAAGTCGTAATGTTCCTAGTGGAGAAACTACAGTGCTAGGTAAGCTTTGTCCGGACCTGAGCTGCAGGACTGTGGGCCCCGAGTTCTGTGTGGATAAATCAACAATACACTGTATATGAAACAGAAACGCAAATCAAACAAAGTTAGTATTGATGGCCAGAGGCTAATAGGAACTTAGCCCTATATTTTGTAGTTATGTGAGAAAGTGGCCTCATAGGAAGAACTGAAAGTATTCTGAGAGTGATGGTACTTTGTATGTGTGAATGTGTGTGTGTGTGGTACTGGGGATTGAACCCACACTGAAGTGTATCCCCAGCCCTCCCCCAATTTTTTAAATTCTGAGACAGAGTCTTGCTAAGTTGCCCGGGCTGCCCTTGCACTTGTGATCCATATGCCTTCGCCTCCTGAGTAGCTGGGATTACAGCCTTTTTTGTTGTTTTCAGTACTGGAAATTGAACCCGGAGCCTCATGCTTGTTAGACATATGCGGTACCACCAAGCTACATTCCCACCCCTTTTTATTGTTTATTTTCAGACACGGTCTTTTGAGCTTCAACTTGCAGTCCTCGTGCCTCAGCTTCCTGAGTAGTTTAGATTACAGGTGTGCATCACCATGCCCAGCCGGTGTTGACACATCTTAACATCTTTCACATTGTTCAGAAAAATCATTATTTGTACTTTTTCCTATGACTTTGAGATTGTTTCAGAAGATTTAAATTACTACAGCAGGGAATGGGAATGCAATAAACAGCACTCAATGCCAGAGACAAAGGACAAAGATCATTTGTGTTTAATGGACTTTGACCACCAGAGAAGAGCAAAGGCACTTCCCAGCAGCCAAATGCAGCTGTCACACACTAGACACCAGCTTCACGTCTGGAGAGCCACAGTCCCCCACCAAATTCTGTCCTTTGTTTTCAGCTTGAACTGTCTTACTGCTGTAATCAGTGAGTGAAAAGCAGCAGAGACGTGGCTGTCACGCTGAAAGCTTAATTTTATGGCCCTCATGAAATACCACCATGGGCCGTTGTCCTGACTGACACAGCTGAGAAAGGAAGGCCTTGGAGAAAGAAGGGCAGCAGATCTGCTTTTTACAGTGTCGGTGAGGGAGGCAGAGTGCAAGTGTGCGGAGGTGTAGCGTTTTGAAGTGATGCTCTGGTACGTCACAAATTTGTGGGTGAATTAAAACGTAAAGGAATGCTGTAAAACAAGAGGTAGTCCTGACGGCTCTTTAAAAGTGTGCACTGGGCAGCGTCCTTGGTGAGTCTGAGGGTAATGTCTTGTCTGAAGAGAGCGATGACTCAGTTCCTAGCACAGCAACCAGTCACCGCCTTTCCAGCCGGGATGTCAGGTTTTCAGCTTTGGCACTAATCATTCACTTAACTCTGAGGGCCATCATTTGCTAGACTCTTTAGTACAAAGACAAAAGTCTTTATGCTTTCTACGTTGTTTTTACATTTTTTGATGCTTTATTAAGTATTCAATAAAGTATTTGTTTTCTGGTAAGCATGGGGAGAATTCCTGCAAATGTCATGTTATTTTTTGTTTTCCATAGTGTATCACTGAACTGTTACTATGGCTACCTGCATAAGAATTTGTATTTATTACATTTTCCGACTTGTTTTCTGCCTGATTTTATTTACATATTCTCTTTGTATATATGGTAGGCCCTCTATATCAGTGGGTTCCTCATCCGTGGGTTCATTCAACCTCGTATTGAAAATATTCAGAGAAAAACCTGTACTGAACATGTAGACATTTTGTTTCTTGTCATTACTCCCCAAGCAATACTGTAAAGCAGCTGTTTGCCTAGGATTCACTTATGTTAGGTGTTCCAGCCTCGGGAGACGAGTGAGGTATAGGGAGGACCACAGACACATTCCGCACCATTTGATACGAGGGATTTGAGCATCTGTAGATTTTGGTATCTGCAGGGGGTCCTGCGACCGTTCACTTGCAGACATGGGAGGGTGGCTGCACTACATAAAAAAAGTGACTCAAATTTAATTGATACTCTAACTTTTGGTTCTTAATAACCACTGAAACTTTAAATGCAGCTTGTGTAGTGCTGAGGTAGGACATCGTGCCTCATTTACTAGTCAGTATTTTATACATGTATTTCTGCCGATGTCCAGTGTTTACTGATCTCCATACATTACTTTTTAATAATATGAGCTTATGCTTTGTTTCCAGCAATTTGCAATATACTCCCAATGTCTAGAATTTGTTTTCTTCCTCATTTCTAGCAATACAGTGCAATTATATTTACATGAATAAAATGTTTTCTCTATAAAACTACTTTACACTTCAATATATGTGTTAATAATGATCTTACATTATTTTCCTAAAATTTTTGTGTAATTGGGATGCATCTTTACATAACAGCACATTTTATACACTGGAAATATTCTATTTGCATACCAATTCTTGTTTAAGACATAGGTTGTGAAGTAGCTGTGAAAAGAATGACCCATGGTAAAGGATTTAGGCATCTTTTTTGTTTTTTGGTTTCCATTATTATCATGTCTTAAATCCTTTCTGGAACAAGAGGAGTATTAATAAATGTTGCAGGGGGCCGGGGATTTACCGGTGGTTCTGCTGCCTGTCTCACAAGTGCAAGGACCTGAGTTTGATCCCCGGTACCGAAAAACCCTCCCCCCAAAAAACCAAAATAAATATTGCAGGTTTTCCTATATCTATTGATATGATTGAGCCATTAAACCAGCTTACCTATTTAGAGTACTGTTTTTAACACATCCTCTATAAAATTGGATCCTTATATTTTTTATTTTAATTAGGG